CATTCCTGCAGTGTCTGTGCCATTAGCAGCCCTGCCTGTTTTGGGTTGTGGTACTTTCCATTAACTTTTATAATAATACATGGGAAAATTAAGGCATGTCCCAGGAGAGCTACATTCCAGACGTACTCCTCTTTATCATCCCTGAGCCCTCTATGTGGTAGCAACTCAGTTTCTCCTTGAGAGTCAGAATCAATTACCCCACTCAGTACAGTAATCCCCTCTGCCTATTGATCACTGGCAGGGGGAACCCAAAGTGGCCAAGTATGGCAGTATCAATTTCTAACTTAATGCAACCATTGCTTATTCTCTAATGGAAGCCTTTTTCCCTTGGGAACTAAGACCTCTAGACCATCAGAGCCAAAAGTTGTAGGGATAGGAAACAAAAAATTTTACTGTAATAGTAAGGAGCTACTCCCATTTTCTACCTCTTGATTTCCAGACCTGTGAATCCTGGCTATGGGAGAAACAACACCATATATTAGTCACTGGTTTAGAGCATGTAGAGAATCCTGGAAGACCTTGCCCCAGGCCTGTAGGTGTTGCCAGCCAACTAGTGCTGTTATTGAATCTTCAAAAGCCCATTCTACTTTTTGTCACCCAGCAGCTTCAGGATTGTGGGGAAAATGATAAAATCAGTGCATTACACAAGCATGAGCCTATCGTTATACGTCATTTCCTGTAAAATAAGCTCACTGATCAGAAGTAATTCTTCTAAGTAAAATACCATAACAGTGAATAAGGCATCCTATAAGTTCACAAATGGTGGTTTCCATAGAAGCATTGTGGGCAGGGAAGACAAATTTATATCCAGAGCAAGTGTCTATTCCAGTGAGCACTGAGTGCTGCCTTTGGTTTTTGATTGAAGTGGTCCAGGGACCATATCAGTGGCTCTGTTGATTCTGCTGTTGGCAGATTGAACATTCAGCAGTGGCTGTAAACAGATCAGCTTTGGTGAGTAAGTCCATGTTGCTGAACCCTTGCATTACCTCCTTGCTGCCATAACCATTTAGTTCATGAAACCATTGGGTGAGGACAGGGGTACCTGGGGGACGAGGCTAGCTAACGTCCACAGAGCAGGTCATCTTGACTACTGATTATTAAAATCTTCCTCTTCCATGATCACTCTTTAGTGAACATTCATATAGTACTCAAATATCTTTTTTATCTGAGCCTGTTTGGAGAGGTCCATTCACATACCTTTTCTCCAGAGCTCCCTTTTCTGACCATCGAGCAAACCACTAGTCATTGCATATGAAGCAGTGTAAATCCATACTTCTGGCCATCTCTCCTTCTAGGTAAGATAAATAACCAAGTATAACATTCAGTGTTCTGCCCCCTGGGAAGATTTCCCTTCACTGCAGTCCTTCAGGGCCACTCCTGAGTGGGGCTCTGGTGCTGTAGCTGTTCATTTTCAAGTGACGCCAGAATGTTGTGCAGAACCATTTGTAAACCAGGCCTGTATTTTTTTCTTCCTTGGTCAGCTGATGACAGAGAACTTTCCATGGGGCCATGGGGGCAGACTGAGAGGGAGGAGGTGATTTAGCAGTAGAGGTCATGGGAATTTGAGCCACTTGCCTGCACAATTTATGTGTGCCTACAGGACCTATACAACCCTTATCTTGTATATTCCACTTCCTCTTGATGGCAGAGTGCTGTGTACACACCCAATTTTGCAGCTTGGTGAGTCAGCCAATACCTAGTTCATAATGGGTAGTTCACATGGTAACTTGGTGACCTGTGGTCGAGTGTTGAGTCAAAGGCAGAAGCACTTTCTCAAAAGGAGGCTAATTACCTGCAGAGGATGGTATAACTTTCCTCCAAAATCCTACGGTTCTGTACTGTGATTCCACCTCTAGGGGCCTACCATGGTCTCCGTAAAATGTCACTATCGGCCACACACTTCAGTTACCATCAGAGCTGCTGGATCATGTGGCCCAAGTGGCAGACCAACCAGGGTCTCCATTCAAAAAAGGATTAAAAAGCAGAATGGTTGGCAGCGGTGGGAAGTGCAGGCCTGGTGTGGAGGAGCAACAGTGTGAAAAAACATTTGAAGTGAAGGAGGAGTAAATCCTGTAAAGCTGATGTCTCCAGTGACTTTAGAAAAGAAGTAGAAAATCATCATAAGCTTTCTCTGCCTGAAGATTTCTTTTATATATATATAAATTTATTTTATTTATTTAGTTTTGGCTGTGTTGGGTCTTTGTTGCTGCGCACGGGCATTCTCTAGTTGAGGTGAGCGGGGGCTACTCTTCATTGTGGTGCGTGGGCTGCTCATTGCGGTGGCTTCTCTTGTCATGGAGCACGGGCTCTAGGTGCGCAGGCTTCAGTAGTTGTGGCAAGTGGGTTCAGTAGTTGTGGCTAGTGGACTCTAGAGTGCAGGCTCAGTAGTTGTGGCGCACGGGCTTAGCTGCTCCGTGGCATGTGGGATCTTCCCGGACCAGGGATCGAACCCGTGTCCCCTGCATTGGCAGGCGGATTCTTAACCACGGCACCACCAGGGAAGCCCTGCCTGAAGATTTCTATCACTTCTGGAATTTCTGTGAAGAACTTGATCCTGAGAAGTCAGCTGATGCACTTTTCTGCAAGCCTTGGCCTTCGATTAGTGGGTCTTTTACGAAGTATAAAATGAACAAAAAATCAGCAAGCCCAATATTAACCTTCACTGGAGATTTTACTATGACCCTCCTGAGTTCCAGACTGTTATTACTGGAGATAATAAAATTCAGTTCCACGTGGGGTATTTCAGGGAGTCTCCTGATGAACCTCCTGTATACGTTGGTACAGATGGAGCAAAGAAAAATTGTATAATTGATCAAAATGGAGATAACGTGTTTGCCGCAGTCAAATTTGTTTTGATGAAAAACTTAAGTAACATAAAAAGAAAACTAGTCTCTTGAAAAACATAGATGAAAACTGCACAGAAGCAGCCAGAGCACTGGGTTACTCATTGGAACAGAGAACCGTGAAGATGAAACATAGAGATAAGAAAGTCAAGACAAAGACTTTTCATGATGCAGGCTTAGTTGTCCCAGTAGATGAAAATGATGCTGAGTACGGAGAGCTCCCTGAAACGGATGCCAACTTCAAGGGAATTTGCAAGACAATTGTTGAAGCAAAAAGTGATGAGAGACTAAAAGCTTTTGCTCTCATTCAGCGATGACTTTTGTGCAGTTTGCTAGTGACGAATGTGATTATGGGATGGGGCTTAAGTGGGAATGGACTTCCTTGTTATGGTTCAGACTATTGTCATAAAGTTACCTGCCAGCTTTTACCTCTTACCTATACTCTGTTGAAGAGAAGTCTCTTTGCAGAAATTATTAAAGATTATCTGGTAAACAGGAGTAAAGAAAACACAGACCAACTTGCAGCATGAATGAGAATTGGCTTTCTTTGGTGTATAATACTTTAAAGCATTAATATTAAACCTGTGATTTTTTTGTTTTTAAGGAGTACATAAAAAATACTGATGGAAACGTTTACTAAAAACTTTTATAAAGCTAAAAAATAAAAAAGATTAAGTCTGCTTCTGCCCCTGCCCTCATCTAAGGAACATTTTCACTAGAGTACGGCATCATGTGATGCAGGGTATGCAGGGGCCTATGGGATACCAGTGGATATGTATTTCACCCACATTTGCTATAGTTGTTGCTTTTATTTTGACATTTTCTTTTAGTATAGTTAAATAATATAATTTAAAATTTAAAATGTAATTTTAATATATATTTTAAATTATAAAATATAATTTAAAATTTTGAGGGACTTCCCTGGTGGCTCAGTGGATAAGAATCCGCCTGCCAATGCAGGGGACATGGGTTCGATCCTTGGTCCGGGAAGATCCCACACGCCGTGGAGCAACTAAGCCCGTGCGCCACAACTACTAAGCCTGCACTCTAGAGCCCACGAACCACAGCTACTGAGCCCGTGAGCCACAACTACTGAAACCTGCGCACCTAGAGCCTGTGCTCCACAACAAGAGAAGCCACCGCAGTGAGAAGCCCATACACCGCAACAAAGAGTAGCACTCGCTCGCTGCAACTAGAGAAAGCCCGCGTGCAGCAATGAAGACCCAACGCAGCCAAAAATCAGGTAAAATTAAATCTTTAAAAAAATAAAAAATAAATTAAAAAAATAAATAAATGGAATTGTTTAAAAACAATAAATGAAAAAATAAAAGTTTGAGTCAACTTATCAAGTTGAATATCTACGCTTTTATGACAGGTTAAAAGAAAATGAATTTTTAAAATAAACTTTTTTTTGAGAGGATTTGCAAACTAAAGATTTATAGATTGCATATGGGGAAAAAGTCTTTCACTTATGAAATAGCAACAGTAATGCATAGTTTATTTTTTTAAAGAAACTTATGTTTGAACAAATAATTCAATGTAAATTCAAAATTTCAATTTTGGGTGTGAAACATGTGTTATTGAATTTAATAATTGTTTCGTGTATAGCATAAACTGATTTCAGAGACGTATGACAGTTTTTAATCATTTTTTTTCTTCCGAATTGTTCCTTGAGCTTTTTTTTTTTTTTTTTTTTTTGCCTGTGTTGGGTGTTCATTTCTGTGCGAGGGCTTTCTCTAGTTGTGGCAAGCGGGGGCCACTCTTCATCGCAGTGTGTGGGCCTCTCACTATCGCGGCCTCTCTTGTTGCGGAGCACAGGCTCCAGACGCGCAGGCTCAGTAGTTGTGGCTCATGGGCGTAGTCGCTCCGCGGCATGTGGGATCTCCCAGACCAGGGCTCGAACCCGTGTCCCCCGCACTGGCAGGCAGACTCCCAACCACTGTGCCACCAGGGAAGCCCGTTCCTTGAGCTTTTAAGAGAGAACTTCTAGATTATTGCATTCTGGTACCATTCTATAAATTCTCTTATCTTTACGTTTATAAAGCTCCTCTTCAACAAAGAGTTGCTGAACTTTAAAGTAGTAACTAGAAGATTTATATCACATAAAGAATTTTTTTGTACTTCTGGTATATAACTCTAGATGAACAGGAAAGATACCAACCTACTTCTGTTTTTGTTGACATGGTCCTTTGACTTCAAGCATCTTAAAACTTTCATGGTTTAGTCTAGCTAATTTGAATTACTATAAAGAAGTTTCATCTGATTTTTGTCATCAGTGTGACTTGTATAACTCTTGAAAAGTTGCTTATCTTGGTAGCTAAGCAAAAATAGGATGCACGCAGAGATAAAATAAGGCTGAATCAGTAAGGGCTACAAAGAAAGAAAGAACGTTGAGGCAGGTGAGAACTCCAAGGCTTCAGAAATAGGTCCTTGGGGAAGGAGATCTAGGAACAAGAAATTACCTGAAGCAAGAAGGTGTGAGTTTTCTCCTCTGTAAGAAATAAAGCGATAGAAATTAGAGTGTGGTGGTGAATTAGGGTTAAATGAAATCATTTAGGAAATAGAGTTGCAAATTGGCTAACCCCGGCAGAGTAAACCTAAAAACATGCAGATGATAATCACAAAATAAAATTTATGAGAAAACACAGCCTAAGATTAGCAGTCTCCTAGTCATCAAAGCAAACCTTGACTGTAGTGTGCGTTCTCAGTTAATGTGGGTTGAATGAATGAGTTTTTGAAAGTAGCTTCAGTTTGCAAAGTAGATACTGATCAGGAAGCAGAAATTGGTTGGTGGGTAGGTTGCAGTGGGAATTGTGCAAGGTTATTGAGTAAGAAGATCAATTACACCTACCTAAGACAGGAGAAGCTATCTGAAATACAAAGGAAGCCAAATTGGCTGGGGCCACCTAAACGAAGTTTACTGCTTCATGCAACAAGTAGTTAAGTTCCGTGCTGGGTGTCAGTAAAATACGGGTGTGTGTGTGTGTGTGTGTGTGTGTGGCTTGTTAGGTATCCTCACTAGGTCAACCACTGTATCTCTAGATTAAAGTACAAAATTTAAGGTACATCCTCTTGTGTGCCACTGCCCTAAGTTCCTACCTGCCACCTAAATGCTGAAGAACTTATTTTGCTGATACTTGTTTTAATTTCCTCTTTTAAAAGGAATAAAAAGGAAGAAGTCCATATCTGTACCCTTATTGTCTTTTCTATCATCTATCCGCCCTCTCCCTCTCCCCCTCCTCCACCTAATCTTTCTACTTCCCACAAGTCACTGTTCTTTTCTCTTGCACTAGGGAGAGGAGGTTCGATGTCAGTATGTTGTGACATGTGCAGGACTTCACTCAGACCGTATTTCCGAGTTGAGTGGCTGCAATCCCAATCCGCGAATTGTACCATTCCGGGGAGATTACCTGCTCTTGAAGCCAGAAAAACGCTATCTTGTAAAAGGGAATATTTATCCAGTAGGTAGTACTTCTGCCTTCTTAAGATGGTTGTGGGCAAAAAGGGGAATGAAACAAAAACTTTTCCCGGGGTGAGAAGTAAGATATTTTGAAGGGCTTTTGGTGCAATCATTCCACCTGTTTCTCTTGTGGTTGAATCCCCAAATCTTTATTCCGATATCATAGTCATTCAATTATAATGACTTGCCCACAAGTACAGGAAAGCTTGAGTGCACCATGGGAAGGGCTGTGAAGAAAGAACCCAATTCTTCCACTTCTCTGGTGGAAGGAGTACTCATAACAGAACTTTTCCTTATAGCATGCCCAGATGCCAACCCTCTTTCTCAGTTCACTGTCTACAAGTGCAGAAAAGGGGATTTGGCCACTGTGTAGTTTCATGGTGTAGAGAAGACAGAGCCGTTTAAATGAAAAGCTCATTCTTCTGTCTGGAACTACTAGGTTGAACAACCAGTATTCAGCTATTTAATGTTTTTGACCTTGCCAAAACTTCCATTTCATCTGTTCCAAGTATTGCATTCCCACTTTACCAAAGCCTGTGCTATGAAGGTGTGTTTTTTTCCAGCAGCTCTGATTTTATTTGCCACCCACATATATCCCTACTTGGGGAGGGTGGAGGTGGGGAATAACCTAAAGTAGGACAGTTGTTTTTTTTCTTTACCCAGAAAGAGGAATAGATGGGACAATGTGCCTTATTGTCATAGCATCAGGTTTCCTGTGTGGCATTTCTAGGCAGAAGCATGTAAATAGAAAAGTATTATCTGAGTACAGATCAAAAGTAATGCAAATCAGATGCATGGGAAGAAAATGTTTTATATTACCAGTTGAATGTTTGCATGTGTAATAAAATGCAGTATGAAATGGGGCTAATAGTTCTTTGCTCTGTTAAATCCATAGGTCCCAGATAGCCGATTTCCTTTCCTAGGAGTTCACTTCACACCAAGGATGGACGGCAATATTTGGCTAGGGCCGAATGCAGTTCTTGCCTTTAAACGAGAGGGTTACAGACCCTTTGACTTCAGTGCCAGAGATATTATGGATATAATTATCAAGAGGTAACTTTATTTCCTTAAAAAAAATGATTTTATGTGCTTATATTTTAATATGGGAATTTTTTCTTTCTCGATATTCTGTTTATTGGATAAATCTTCATATCTGTGATTGGTATATTGGTTTTTTAATTAATCTAAATTAAGAGCTTTGTGGAATAAGCATAACATTTTAACTACTTCAAGAACACTCTGATGAGCCAGGGTGATGTTGTGGTTAAAAAGAACAAGACCAAGAGCCAGGAGCGATCGCACATCTGAGAATCCAGATCTTGTTTTGCTAACCTTGTAGCTGAGCTTGAAAAAAAACAGAAGTTTCTCTCAAAATCAGTAGATGGTTTACTTTGATAAGATCATTTCAGGCCAGTCACTATGATTTTGAAAACCTCTGGAGAAACTGCTGATAAGCAAGATTGTTTCTTTTTGTGGAAGACTAACAATACTGCTGTGTTGACCTGGAATGCAGATTGTTTACTATTGTAAGAAATAACTCAGTCAAGTATTTTGTCCTTTTAGCACTGTTGCTCTCTAGAGGGTTTCACATCATCAAAATCACTAGAAAGCTTTTAAAGCTATACTTGAGTTTCACCCTGCACAGATTCTGAAACAGGTTTAGGATGGGGCTTCTTAGCACGTATGCTTGTAAAAATACAGATGTACATAGGCTCCCCAGAGTCTCACGTGAGAATCACTACTAGAGCATCTCACCTCTGGCTGACTAAAGAAAAGTAGGGTAAATGTCCCACATGTTTAATGCCATGAGTTAAAGATCTTTAATGCCTTTTAGGTGTGTTTTGAAAGCACGGAACATTGCATTTAGAAAGCCTTGATGTTGGCAGGCATTATCCTAGTTTGAAACCAGCATTCCCTGGGAATTTGAGTTTGAATGGTGTTTACTTTTAGAGTTGGGAAGGTATTCCTTTGATGAAGTTTCCTTCTTACGTAGGCCCAAAGCTAATTTTCTTTTAATATGTGGTTTTTCTGACCTTGCATAGATTTCTGTGATGCCACACCCCACCCCCAAATCTAATAGCTGTAAAGGTGTTGTATGATAATAAAGAATTCCTTTCCCTCATAAAGATTTTATTTTCTTTGCTTTCAGTGGCTTGATTAAACTGGTGTTCCAGAATTTTTCCTATGGAGTTAATGAAATGTACAAAGCCTGTTTTCTCAGTGCAACAGTGAAGCACCTTCAAAAGTTTATCCCTGAAATTACTATCAGTGACATACTTAGGTAAGGAAAAGCCGTAAGGGTTGTAAATACAGTCATGTCCTAGGTGAACTTGGGAGGTGGGTCTGACTTGGTGATTTGTAAGCACACTTTCAATCAGTGTGTCCACTGAATTTTTGTGTGCTCTCTCTTTCTCAACAAGTTGTTCATTCCCCTTGCAGTTTGGGCATTGCTGCATCATGGCCCTTAGTGCTTGAACTAGGTCCATTTATGATTATCTGGACTACCTTACAGCGTTAAGCTGAAGTCTCCATTTCAGTTGTGTTATGATGCCACCTTCACCTTTGTGTCTAGCTATCACTCATGATAAACATCACACCTGAAGTTTTTTTAATCTCCCTGGCCACTTACTCTTGTGATTCCAAAGCCTTCTGACTTTTAATTCTGTATAAGATCATTGATCACCATGTTACCTAAATAGGTAATAAGCATATTAAAACATTATACTTTGATTGATTCTTAAAAGCTTTTAGAAACATACTGATACCTGGCATCTTACTTTGCTTCCTCTGTACTTATTTTGTTCTTTCTTGGATCCTACTTCCCTCAAGGACTATTTGTAGAACAGAAGTGGGAAATAGTATGGTAGCAATCAGTCTGAGTCCTTGCTGTGGGGGTGTGGGGCAAAGGAAGGATTACTTAAGAAAAATGTTTTTTTCTTAAAGATAAAAGGCTTTCTGGACTTGATCTATACCTTGTCCTAAATGCCATACAAGCCTATTTTCTTTTTGGTGATATTTTTAGGGTGCTCATCTTTTCCCCTGAACCAGCCATTTGTTAGGCCTAATCAGCAGTGGTCTTTGAGGTCCTCTCCTCCCTGAATCCATCCCACAATGAATCTCTAGAGCACTAAGTGTCTGTCTCCTCAGTAACAGCTGCTGAACTTGCCCGGTGTAAAATATCAGCAGCTCGGCTCTGTATCTGGGAAGAGAGCAATAATCACGTCAGCTGTCTCCCTCAGGGGAGCCTCCTGGTCTAAATCTGATTCTCATGTATCATTCTCAGACCAGCCTCTTTGAATCCTTAGAAGAACTATTAAAACCCAGCTAATGTTTTTAACTCTTATCTCTCTCACCCCTCTGCTCACCTTCTGAAATAGAAGGGATAAAAATATCTAGGCTTTATGTTCTTTCACTCACCTATAAATGAAGGCTTTTATGTTTTCAGTGGTCTGCTTTAGCAGACTTGTTATGTTTTATATCTGAAAATAGATTGGTCAAATCTATTATCTTTTACTGCTCTTAATATTCCTTGGAAAACACAATAGGTGGGCATAGTGAATTCTGTGTATAAATAGTTGCAGTGAATTCACTATGCAGATTTGATTACCACTCTTTTGTAGAAGCCTGAGGAAAACTCTTTAGACCAGTGGATTTCACATGGTAGAACTGAACCTTGGGGCTTGTGGGTTTTGGTGAATACCCTTGTCTCTGGGTGGAAAGGTGTGAATTTCAGTTACCAGTTTCATTACCAGGTGGTAGAAAAGGGCACACAACCCTGTAGGCAGGTGCATTTGGGGACAAATTCAACCCAGTCACAGATGAGTTTCTCTCTGAAGATAGAGAAGCTGAACATATTCAGCAATTCCATTTGATTCCTGTAGCTCTTAAATGCAGGAAATTATCAGTAACAAAAAGAAAATTGTAGAAGATATGTTTGATTCCATTTATATGTTTATACTGTGTATGTATATGGATTGCACATGTAATGTGAAAATAAAAACAAACATGAGAGTGATAAACACCTAACTGAGGAGAGTGTTTATCTCTGGGTAGACAAGAGAATGGGATGCAGAGAGTTTGACAGGGGCCTTCTATCATATCTATAATGCTTATTTCTTAAGCTGTTTGGTAAAAAAAAAAATGGTGTTCATTATGTTATTCTCTGTACCTTGTTATATGCCTAGAATCTTAAATAATAATAATAATAATAATACAAAAAAATAAGGTCAATAGACTTCCCACATTTTGAAGCCTAAGTCCTGTTTGCAACCAGTATAACACCATAAATGCCCTATCATTAATATTGGGGAAGAAGCATATTAGGTAGTTCTGGATAGTAAAAAAGAACCAAAGAATGTAAAGCAACACTTTTAGTGGAATGTTTAGCTCAAGATGGTGTCCTTTAGTTGCAACAGCTACCAAAAGGGATCCAGTTGGACTTCTCATTGCCCAGCCAGAGTATCTTGGGCAATAACTTACCAGTGAACATTAGATTGGAATGTAAAGTTATAACCTGTCAAATGTATGCATTAGGTATACAGAATTCTCATTATTAAATGATGATCTCTAAGTTTCCTAATTTTAGCTCTAAAGTCCTTTAATTTGTTCTGTGATTAATTTTGACATGGTAATCTAACAGTAGTTTGTATCTGTTAGCATTGTAAGGATGTAAAATATGATGACATATTTGCCAAGATCCCCTCTTTTTCCCACACTTCATTTTGAAAATATCTTCTTGGGGGAATTCTATAGTAAATTTTCAGGCAAGATGTTTTCATTGTAAGTGATAGCTAAAGACTACACTATTGTGAAATGCAAGGGTAAAAGACAAAAATCCTGCAATAAAGGTGATCTAGACCCTTTTGCAAAAAAGGGTTTCTCATTCTTGGTACTGTTGACATTTGGGGCCAAATAATTCTTTATTGTGGAGGACTGTCCAGTTCACTGTAGAATGTTTAGCAGCATCCCTGGACTCTACCCACTAGATGCCGGCAGTACTCCCCTAGTATGACAACCAAGAATGTCTCCAGACATTGCCAAATATCCTCTAGGGGGCAAAGTCTCCCCTGTTTGAGAGCTACTAGTCTAGAGAATTTGGTAACTCTCACACTGCAAAATACTAATAAGAGAGTCTGGAGAAAATATAATAAAAATCCCTTGAAATACTTATAGCTGAGAGTGCAAGAAAATAAGGGCATCCCAGAAACGAAAACAGAGAGGAAATTGAATACCCAAGAGCTAAGAGGAATTAGTGCTGATGCTGACTTGGAAAGGTAGGGAGGATTTTCTGATTTTGATGTAAATATAACTGAGTTTTGTTTTTAATTGATCTGTGATTTACAGACAATAAAATATGCAGATATTGCGTGCTCAATGAAGTTTGGAAATTGTATAAACTCATGTATCCACCACACAAATCAAGATATAAAACATTAGCGACTTATATTTTAATTGCTACTCAAGTGCTGGAAAGGAAGCCTTGGGTCTGTAAAAGGTAAAAAGTTGGAACTGAGATCCCTTTGTAAAACCAGGGACTCTGGAAGGGCTATACCCTCAGTGAAAAGGAAGTCTAGAAAAAAAATCTCCTAAAAATCTAGAACCCTGGGCCTTCCCTCACAAGTACTTGGAGTTTCAATTTGTACCACTAGTTTGATCTAGGAACTTTAAGCTGAGAAATGGATCTAGCTTAAAAAGTAGATCCATTCCTATTTGGATCCTGCTTCAGACTAACACTTCTGCCTCTCACTCTCTTACTTTAAACAGATTAGAGTGAGTGAAAATCAGGGTAATTTGACCACAGACTGAATATGGTTGATACTAAGCAGTTAGTAGTTTTGTATTATTATTAAGAATCCTTTTAAGAGAAATATACATTGAAGTGAAATGATACGCCATCTGGGGTTTGCTTTAAAATAATCCAGTGGAGAGAGGTAGACAGAGTGGGGATATAGATGAAACAAGATTGGCTGTGTATTGATTATTACTGAAACTGGGTAATACATACATGGGAGTTCCTTATACTGTTCATTTTACTTTTGTACGTGTTTAATATTTTCCATTTTAAAAAAAAGGTGTTCCTGGAATGGTTATACACCTGGAGTGTCTGACAGAAGCAAATATAAAACCTCTGTGGAGGGACATAATTTCAACCCAACGCCCCCTGCTGAATAGGAACTCACCAGCAAAAGTTCCAAAGCACTATAAGTGAGAGTAAGCAGATAGAATAAGTACTAGAATTAGACTCTAACAACTTTGGATAATAGTAATATTAGAAACCATAAAGTAAGCATGCTCCAATGAATTTTTTTTAAAAGGGAATGAAAAAAACTGAAAAAGAATAATAATTTAAAAAATACCCTAGGCAAATTTAGAAACAAGTAATCAGAATTTCTAGAAATAAAAAATATAATTCTTAAATTTTAAAACTCAAATGATTAAGTTAGACACCTGGTTGGACCTCCCTTAAGAGAAAATTAGTAAATTGGAAGGTAAATCTGAAGAATTTAGAGAACAATGTTGTAAGCTAAAGATGCATCATGTGCAAATTAAGACATGGAGAAGATGAGAAGATTCCAGCCTACATCTCATAGGAGTTGCAGAGAAGTTGAGAAGAGGCAATACTTTGAAGAGAAGTATTTGAGAATTTTCTGGAATGGACAAAAAGACATAAAATTCAAGATGCACAGTGAGTCCCATCTGAATTAAAAAACTAAATACAAGAATGTAAATAGATTATATAACTTCCAAATAGTAGAGGAAGAAAAAAGAATGTAGAAAACTCAGTAAGTCAAGAAAGGAGGTGGGAAAACTTCAGAAAAAGATCCGGTTAAATAGCATAAAATAATATAGTAGAAATCAAATATCAGAAATTATAATAAATGCAAATGTGTTAAGACAGAGATTATCAGGTTGGATTTTAAAAATCCACCTATGTGTTAGGCAAATGCTTATTCGAAGAAAGATGAGTCCTAGGTTCATTTTAGATAAAAGACACTTTAAGGTTAAAAAATTATTGTTATAAATAAGGAGGGTCACTATAAACTTGTTGCATATGATAACAGAGCTAAGAAATACAGAGAACAAAAACTGACATAACTGGAAGCAGAAATCAAATCTATAATTGTGATGGGTGATTTTAAGACATGTCTGTTGATAGATGATAGCTCAAGCAGATAAAATATTAGATTTGAGGGGAATTCCCTGGTTGTCCAGTGGTTAGGACTCGGTTCACTGCTGGGGTCCAGGTTCAATCCATGGTCGGGAAGCTAAGATCCCCTCAAG